TATTTTTGAGAAGGATCCATGTGCTGCTGAGAAAAAAGTGTATCTGCTTGATGTTGGTTGATATATTCGATTAAGTCTAAGTTATTAATTATGTTATTGAGTTCTATAGTTGCTTTATTCAACTTTTGTTTGGAAGATCTGTCCAGTGGTGAGAGAGGTGTGTTAAAATCACCCATGATTATTGTGTTGTGGTCTATTTGAGTTTGTTTGATGAACATAGCTTCACCATTGTTTGGGGCATATATATTAATGATTGTTATGTCTTGTTGGTGTATGGTTCCTTTGAGCAGTATGTAGTGTCCTTCTTTATCCCTTTTGATTAACTTTGGCTTGAAGTCTGTTTTATTTGATATCTTGCTTCCGAGGTCCTTTTCCTATCAGATGAGTCTCCTGTAGGCAGCATATTGTTGGATCTTTTTTTTTTAAATCCAGTCTACTAGCCTATGTCTTTTGATTGGTGAGTTTAAGCCATTAACATTTAGGGTTACTATTGAGATATGGTTTGTATTTCCAGCCATATTTGTTTATTTTTGTTATTTAACTTGATTTGTTTTTACTCTTTGATTAGTTTTTCCTTTACTGTACTACTTCCCACTGTTGGTTTTCATTGTTATTTTTAATTTTCTCTTCATGTAATGTTTTGCCAAGGATGTTTTGAAGCGCCGGGTTTCTAGCTGCAAATTCTTTTAACTTTTGTTTATCATGAAAGGTTTTTATTTCATCTTCAAACCTGAAGCTTAATTTTGCTGGATACAAGATTCTTGGTTGGAACCCATTATCTTTCAGCGTTTGAAATATGTTGTTCCAGGATCTTCTAGCTTTCAGAGTCTGTGTTGAAAGATCAGCCATTAACCTAATTGGTTTACCCCTAAATGTAATCTGCTTCCTTTTTCTTGTGGCTTTTAAAATTCTCTCCTTGTTCCGTATGTTGGGCATCTTCATTATAATGTGTCTTGATGTGGGTCTATTGTGATTTTTGCACATTCGGCGTCCTGTGGGCTTCTAGGATTTGGATTTCTGTTTCATTCTTCATGTCTCGAAAGTTTTCTAATATTATTTCATTGAACAGATTGCTCATTCCTTTGGTTTGGACATCTATACCTTCCTGTATCCCAATAACTCTTAAATTTGGTCTCTTCATGCTATCCCATATTTCTTGGATGTTCTGCTTGTGGTTTCTTATCAGTCTCGCTGTGCTATCTACACTCCTTTCGAGATGATATACTTTGTCTTCATTGTCTGATGTTCTATCTTCTAAGTGTTCTACTCTGCTGGTGATACTCTCATTTGAATTTTTAATTTGGTTTATTATTTCCTTCATTTCCAGGATTTCTGTTTGTTGTTGTTGTGTTTTTTGTTGTTGTTGTTTTTTTTTTTTTTTTGTATAACCTCTATCTCCCTGTAGAGTTGATCTTTTGCTTCTTGGATTTGTTTATGTATTTCCTGGTCAATCCTCAAATCTATCTAACATTCCTTCTGCTGCAGATGTTACCTCTTCTAATGTTGAATTGTCCTGTATCGTTTGTGATCCTTTCTTTCCTTGTCTTTTAATACTGCTCACGTTTCTTTCCAGCTCTGTGTGACTGTTGTGTTAATGTTTTCCCCCTATATATTTATATTGCTTTTGATAGTTCCAAAATCTCTCTGGTCAGCTGCAGAACCGCGCTGGTTGCCACGCCTACCGATAGATGGCGAGTAACATTTTCCAAAATGGATTCCGTCTGCTTCCCACATAGGGTGTTTGGTGAGGTGGAGGGTGCTGGGGTGACCTTGTGCTGTGTCCACAGCTCTATCTGGTGACCCACAAGAAAAACCTCTGCATTCTGCGCCCTGAACTTAAGCTTCTGGATGACCATCCACTCTTCCTGGGCTCACAGAGAAGGCCTATAGCAGTTCTCTTTCCTTGGCATCCTCTAGCATGGAAGTGGGGAGAGATTTTCACTTACATGGTGCTTTTATTTATAAAATTGTTGCACTGAGAAACTCCAAACCTGGTTCCAGCAGCCCTCCACCACATAGACAGGAGCCCCACCACAAGAGCCTCCCTCAGTCTGTAAGATGGATGGGTACACAAGCATGGAGCAGAAAGATTATTTTAAAGGAAGAGCAATATCTTGGTCAAATGAGCTATAAGCCATTATACAAAACAAATGAACACATTTGTCTCTCCATAGATTTGGGAATAGGAAAAGAGAATGAAGAGATTTATTTGGTAGTGTCAAAGAAGAACTGAATGAAAGATTTCACTGTGGATGGCCAAGAAGTTAATGGTTTCAGTTCAGAACATATTTTTAATTATTAGAAATCTAAAAATGGTGGGGAGAATAAGTATTTAACATCGTTAGATACATATGCCAACATTGGTTCTATGTAAAATTGAAGTTGGAAGAAAATTTGACAATATCTCCAACATGACAGTGTGGTTAGATTTTGAAATTCCCACCTATAGTGATAGGTGGGAGAAAGTGGGGAAGAATAAGGGTGACAGTAAATATGTTTGTATTTACAATTTTTGAAGCTAAAGTTGTCAGTATGAAGACTTTATTATAACTCAGCATAAATTTCATCTGGGAAAAAAGCCCACAAGACAAATTGGACTGAATGCCTTGAAAGTGCTGATCAAAACATGAGTGAAGTATTTCAGTAAGATGAGAAAAGTGTTGTCAATATGTAGTTTAAACTGCAAGTTAGGGTGATGTGAACCTGACTTATGTTGATCTGTTTTTCAGTTCAATAACATTCCCAGGCCCTTGCTTACCATCCCCTTTTCCTTCTTTATAAAAGAGGTAAAATGCATTAAAACTCAGTAGGATCTATAGATTAATTTATATGTGCTCAAATTGGCCCCTGAGAACATTTATTTAGATTAATATTATTCAAAAACTGTATTGAGAAACAGAAAGTGATAATTTGCAAGAGAGTTTGCTTATAGTGAAGAATCTGAATGATTGGAGGATTATCTCATCTTGCTCCTTATTACTCTGTAAAGGCAATTTTTCAGGGTTAAAATTAAGAACTAGATAACTCTTTGAAAATGATTGTGTCCACTGAAATTCATATTATGCAAATTGCATTTGAGATAGCTGAAATCAATAGTAAACAAGGCCTAAGTTATCAAAATAGCAATTATGAAACAGATTTTATCTATCTTATTGTGTAATTTAATATTTTTGCAAGATTCAGTGGAATGAGAACATATAATTACTTAGGTTTCTCTAGAGGATTTTTTTGGGGGGGAGTAGAGGGTGAAGATAAATATGTGTTGCTATAGAAGTAATGACTTTTCCAAAATTTTGGTGATAACATAAAAAGTGTGAGGCATTGGAATTATGTGGAAATTTCACTTAACCTATATGAATTTCTCTTTTAGTAAAAAATTGTGCTGTGGCTGAAGTTAAATCTTTGCAAAATTAGATTGTATAGAGAGATCAATTCTCCCATGCCTGAGATGGCAGAGCTACCATTTTCAGAAATTATTTGAATTCATGGAATTCACATGCTTTTTATTGGCTCACTGCAACATGAGAAAACTAGGGATTAGTGTAATGATTTTTTTTTTTTCCCCAGCAGGGTTTGAACCCAGGGGTGCTTAACTGCAGAGCCACATCCCCAGCTCTTTTTTGTATGTTTTTTAGAGACAGGGTCTCACTGAGCTGCTTAGGACCTGGCTAAGTTGCTGAGGCTGGCTTTAAACTTATAATACTCCTGCTTCAGCCTTCCAAAGCACTGGGATTATAGGCATCAGCCAGTGTGCCTGACTGAATTATTTTTAATACATATGAATTTATATAAAATTTATAAGATAGTCATGTTCTTTGATTATGTACCCCCCACTTGGTTGATATTTAAAACATCTTTCCTTATTTTTAAATATATGTTAGTTTAAAATGCCTTTGGCAATGTAAAATTTATTGACCCTATTTTGTGTTGCCTGTTTTTTGGTAAAATTTCCCAAACAATGAAAGTCTAGAAGTCTGGAAATCACTAGTAAAATTGGTATTGAACCAAATTTGAAGTCTCAGTAATTTAAAACAACAACTATATATATATATATATATATATATATATATATATATATATGAACAAAGTTCCATCCAGATCAATAATTAAAACTAAAATCACAAGTTTTTAGACACTGCCAAAGAATTTGAATATACATGGCCTAGGAAAAATTGATATGAAGAACAGAGAATATATTTTCTTCACCTTGTATGAGTGTCATTTCTGGTATTATTTCTGTGGGGGAGGGGTAATGGAGATTGAACTCAGGGGCACTGGACCACTGAGCCACATCCCCTATATCCTATGTTATATTTTATTTAGAGACAGGGTCTCACTGAGTTTTTTAGCACCTCGCTTTTGCTGAATCTAACTTTGAACTCTAGATCCTCCCGCCTCAGCCTCCTGAGCCACTGGGATTACAGGCATGTACCATACCAGCATCCTTTTTGAGAATGTATTTGTGGACAAAGAGAAAGTTAGATTCCCTAGGCCCCATGTTAAAATCACTCAGCGCCCTTGGTTTTAGAATAACTGATATACATAAATCATCCTGATTTTTGTTTCTCAGTGATTTGAAGTTAATTTTCTGTATTAAGCTAAATAAAATGGGAAATTTTTTTGAAATCTTAGTCTTTTTTTTTTAGTTGATCATGGACATCCATCTATCTATTTATTTATTTATATGTCATGCTGAGAATGGAACTCAGTGTCTCACACATACTAGGCAAGCTCTCTATCTCTGAACCAAAACCCCAGCCCTAAAATAGTCTTTTTCAGTTCTTTTCATTAGTACTACTGTTGTGTATATATATTTTTAAATGTCATAAAAAAAACCCTATTAGAAAGACAAACCAAAAAGTAAAGCCTACAAACTTAACGTCAAACTTTTCCAAGACATTTACAACATACTTAGGGATAATATGTGAAGGGGCAGTTATTATTGAACAATCTCTTTAAACCTTCTCAGCTGTTTACATTGTGTTCTGTTTCTTTCCCAGTGAGAAAAAGAAAGAAAAAGAGCGTGAAGAATTATGGAAAAAATTGGAGGATCTGGAGTTAAAGAGAGGTCTTAGACGTGATGGGATAATTCCAACTTAACAAAAATATGACAGCAACATTACTAACCTGTGGAGTCACATTTATGTAGTAGAAGATGGAGCAACAGTTTTCTGTATTGTGCAACTTTACAGTAGATTTCACATTTGTTTCATTATTACAACAGCACTGTATATACCTGTCTGTAAGTAAAGGAAAAAAATAAGGACTTCAATCCAAAGTTTGGACAGTAGATGGACTTCTCAGAACTTTGCAAACATAATCATTGTTCTAACCCTCTTATAAAAAAAAAAAAAAAAGCAGTCTTCAAAGATCTGTTGATGAAATTGCTATGTTAAAATTCCATTATCAGGAGTTCTTATTTATCACTAGCAGAGAGTATGATACAATTTTCAAATGTGAACAATCTTAAATTTAGCTTGTCTTTCTGCTAAGCTGTTAAATGTATTTATAGTAAAGGAAGAAAAAAAAAGACTGTCATTTCCTTATAAGTTTGTATAACATCTTCCTCTGGATAACTTGACTGTAATTTGACATTTTTCCTTTTGCACATCTTCATGAGTTGAATGTCCATGTGGAATGGGACCCTGAATTTTAAAGGTCCCAGATGAAAGTTTTGTCTGCTGGGGTGAACATCTTTCCAGTAACCAGGTAGTCCTGGTACTCCTTTAGTTTTAAAATTAGGAGTAAAAAGAGAAGAGGTGATAAAGATAGTAGGGAAGGGAATTTTGGATTCATGCATCAGTTTATGGTGAATCCAAATCAATGTCTTGAATCCTTTGAAAACAGGCACTGGGACATCACAGGCTTCAGTACCTGACCAGTATTAGTTGTATACATCATTGAACATAATATACCAGAGACATTTTAGAAATGTCAGAAAGACATCCTTTTTGGACCATATGAAATAAAGACAAACACTAAACAATAAAACCATGAAATTGATCGCCAGGATTGCGAATCTAATTGGGAAAAGAGTTGAGCAAACAGCTTGGACTGTTTGGAGTTGTTGCCTTACTTTTTAATATGTATTTATAAAGTATTCCAGCAAAAGAGGATGTAGCCTCTGGAAAAAAAACAAACATGTTACAGTGTTTTTTGTAGATTCTCGTTCTATATCTCATCACAGCGCCAGCCCTGTTTTTAGCCGGAAAGGATTCAGGATAAACATTATGCATTCTGAATTGGATGCTTATTCCTAACTACTGTATTTGTTACCAAAAGTGGTTCTACAAATGCTACTGAAAAAAAGCTGGAAATTCCTAATGTCCTGAGTATTAATAATAAAGTTTAAAAATGCTTTTATATCAAAGGTGCATCGTGACCAAATTGTTTGAGAAAAAAACAAAAAACAAAATCTAGGGCTGTATTATAGATAGATCTTATTGGCTCTCTGCTTTGTATTAAAAGAAGAATCTTACAACTTGGGTAGGTAAATTGCTGATAAAACTTGTGTACATCATGTACTTACCTAATGTGGTTGCATTATTATATATGAAAAGATATGTTTTATGATTCATTTCTAGGATGCTTTTGCTTTTTATGGACATGGCAGCAGTGAGTTGATAATCTTAAATCATCATTTCCAGCAGTGTTCATGATACAGAGCTCATCCTCTGTTCATATGTTAAGTTGTGATAGTAGCAAACACGAACATATGAACTATTGTTGCTCTCAGTAGAAATACAATATAAATATGGGCTTGTATATTTTCTTCCTTCCATTGAAATATAAAGTAGAATATACAGTTTTATTGTTTCTAAGAAAAAGGGAAAAAAATAGCCGCTGACCTTTCTCCCCTATGAAATGTTTCCACATTATTAGGTCATTGTGTGTACATAAAAGTCAGCTGATTATGAATATTATCATCTAGGTAATTGTAAAAAAAAAGTGAATCAAAAACAAAATTTGGCGTTGTTATTCCTAAAAACAAACAGCAGTAAAAAAAAAAAGTCATATGCATCACCAACACAACATGGTTTAATGGAATGGATAGTTTTTAAAATTTTTTTTAAACAAACAAAAAGGAACATTGATGGGGATTCAGTATAATGTTGGCAGAGGCTGCCCAAAATGAAACAACTTGCTTCAACAGTGTTGGAACAAAGGTGCAAGTTCAAATACTAATTATAAAAATAAATTTATAACAAATCTTTTCTTTAGCCCTTTTGGTTTTAGCCCTTCCCAGTTTTGACTCTGCATTACAGTTATTTTTTACGTGTAAACTTTTATTTGCCATTAATTCATCTTTTAGATGGAAGGCATTAAAATCACAGGTTTATGAAGAATCTCTGCCCATCAGAATGAAATGAGAAAGCCTAGTTTTCCTTTTTGCACCTTACCCTGCCCTCAGAGTTGAGGTGAATATGACCCAGCTATCCTTGGTGTCAGTTTTGTATGTTGATCATTCCAAAATGAGAAGAATAAAGCCAAGTTTTAGACATATATAAAGAAGCAATTAGAGCTACCTGTTGAAAATTAATAGGGCAACTTCTGAGAAGAAACACTGTCTTTTTTTTTTTTTTTTTAAACTGAAAGTGACAATGTGACATTTGTCATGTTGTGTGCAGTGACACGGAGTAATTTAGGTAATCTGACTGTTGCACTATGTGACATATTTAAGGACGTACTTGCTGCATTTGCAGCAGCCCTCTCTCTGTCCCTTCCCGCAATTCTGCTGTTGCTGCAACTTGAGTTAATTGTGACAAATGCATCTTTGTGTTATATTTTGTTTGCTTCATAGTTTTCAGAACTATATATAAATATATTTTTTAAATAGCAAATATTTGTCGTTAGTGAGTGATGATCACTCCAACCTTATCCCTACCATATTGGTTTCAGGGGTAGGAGTAAGAGTGTCCTTGGAAGAAAAAATATACACACAACCCTGTGGTTTAGAATGATGCTGAGGCCTTAGGCTGTGGGCCCAGAACAATTATGTGAGTGAAGTGACCCATCTCCTTTGAATCAAGCATGCATTCCTTTTTCTTATTGTACAAGTGTCCCCAGTTGTTCGCCTTCAGTGTTTAGTTTTTGTCCTTTTCAAGTTTGTTATATTTTGCTCTCCCTAACATCTGTTTTTTAATAAAAGAAAAAAATTAAAAAAATAAATAATACCCTTGATGCCGCTGGATACTCACAAGCAGGGTTAAGCTCCTTCATCTTGGGCTTCTTTGCCTAAATGGAAGGATTTCATTGATTTTGTACCTCCTCCTATGCGTGGGGCATTCCAGGGTGCAGAGCCAGGAATTGCTTGTAGTTGCACCTGCTATACCTAAATGTATAGCCCTAGGCTCAATCACACTATGGAAAGAAAAAAAAAGTATATTTAGAGCTTTAAAAGCTTTTTTATTTTTTTGTGGGGATAGGGGTGGGGTGGGAAAGGGATGTATGGATGTTAGGATGTTATTGGCATTTTTAAGTGTTTCAGGGTTTTGTTTTGTTGTTAATGTTCCTGTTTTCCCCCCATTAATTGGATGCACTGACCTTGCCCAGGAAATGAAGAGATTCTCTCTTTGATGCTGTTACCAATGTTATCACAAAGTGACAGTCACCTGTAGCAAAAAGGTGGCACCAGACATGATCAGTGATGTTTTATTTGCACATGAATATTTTTATTTTTGTATTCTGGCTCAGCTGCTTCTCTGAGTGGAGTTAAGGGATGAGCCACAAAGGATTTTTGTAAAAGGTATATTGGCAATGCATTTTATATTCCTCTATATTTAATTTCGAAAATCTAAAAGAAGGATTGTGCATCTTGAGAGAAAGTTGAGTAAACTTTGATCTAGTGGAATGTTAATTTGTGCTGCTTCTTGTGCACGATAGCAGCAGTAGTATCTCTCTTGGAAATGAACATCCCATATTATGATGTCTATGAATATAGGTTTCCTTTTCTTCTCTCCCTCTTTCTTTCTCTCTCCCTTCCACCTTTCTCCTTCCTTCTTGCTCTCCTCCCTCCCCTGTATCTCCTTCTATTTCTTTCGTCTCTCTTAGCCCTTCTCCCCTTCCCTTTCTTTACTTTTATTTTTATTTTTTGAAATCACTTATTGTAAATAAGTTGTAATCCAAACCTCATGTATCAATGGGGAACTTTCAAATATAAATATTAACAATACATCTTCTGGTTGTGGTCTGATTTTTGAATGAAGTATAATGAGAATGATATGTCCATTGCTTTTAGTTTGAGGATTTTGCTTCAGTTTCATAAATCTTTGGTATTTTAGTACTTCATTGTTTTAGCAGGAGAGGGCAGCAAAAGTTCATTTTCTCTGTTAGTAATGCTGTTGTTCTTGATTGGTTTTAAACTTAGTTGTGAGTGTGTATGTATTTTTTTTTTTTTTTAAAAAAACAGCATCTGTTTGTAGGTAGATGTAAAAATGAAACATTTTTGATATGAAAAGTTACATATGAAAATTATAGACTGGTTCAATCAGACAGTGAAGACTTCTGATCCACATCAAAGGGAAAACAAGGCTACAAAAAAAATTTTCCAGCTCTGGCTAAAACATGCTACTTTTTTTTCCAAACATGATGAAATGCAAGCTGTCTTTAAACACTTGGAATTTAAAATGTTCTTTGGAAATGATTTACTTCCTTCATAGTGGTAATAGAAACAAAAAACGAAGGTGCTCCCAAAAAGCAATGTAACTTCCCCTTTCACAGCTGTGTGAGAGGTTCTGTACTGTGGGTGCATCACAATAAAGCAGCAGTGAAGAGTTTCCAGGTGCCTGGCTGTTTCTGTTTGTTTCTGAAGTCATATAGATGAGATGGATTTGGTGAACTTTAAGTCACTGGGTTTGGTGCATTCAGGCTTTCATTTTGAGAAAATCAGTTCATGACAAGGGGTATGTAACAATGGGGAATGGTCCAGTCTTTTGCTGTGTATTAAACACTCCAAAAGAGTGGCTTCAAACAATGACAATTACTTATTCTGTTCACTAATCTATAGTTTGGCAACTATCAGGTCTTGTCTCTGATCCTCAGTATCATCTGGGTGTCTCAAATGGGGCAGAAGAATTTATTTTCAGTACCAACATGGCTCACTCAGATTGCTGGTAAGTTGGTGCTGACTTGGCTAGGAGTTTACCAGTGGTCGGTCTCAGGTCCCCCTTACAGTACTTCCTTATTGGGCTTCCTCAGTATGGCAGCTGGGTGTTAAACTCACAAGCTGCCATGCTTTGAGGCCTTGTCCCAGACAAATCTTCACCTCCATCATATTCCATCAGTCACAGCCTGAGTCAAGTGGTGGGGACACAGACTCACTGTGAATCCTTGAGAGGGTGTGAAATATTTTGCAGGCATCTTTATCATAGAATAGTTTATATGTAAAGCATTTGATTTAGGTGTGATATATTCTCTTAATTAAATCATATCAAGTTTGGAACCATGTGGAGTTAAAACAGTTAATGTTTCATATTCAGTCTGGGAAGAGGAGGGAAAAGCTCTTAAAAGTTTCAAGCAGTTTTGTATTTCAAAGCATAACCTTTTGTAGGATCTGAAGATCAACTTCTTGGCAATTCAAAAGAAGAAACTTGTACCAAAATATTTTAGAATTCAGAGTTTTAAGAGACAACTTCAACAGATCCATTGCATGATGTCTCCTCCTGCCTGTAAATAATTACCAAAATGGAGGCAAAGTAAATTCACTGTTCAATTCCTGATTCCCAGATTTTTACATAAGTGTGTATACTAGAGGTTTCTAATAGATTATTTCATTTTAGGCACTTTTTTAAAAAAGCAAACTAAGGTATGGATTAGCTAAGGGGAATTAAAGTTTTATTTTTTCCCTGATTATGGTATAAAAGCTCCTATGAAAGTGTGAATCTAAATCTGGGTTTTCTGTGCTCCAGTGGTTGATTTGTTGATCCTTATTCCAGAATCACACCGTCATGATTACCATAGCTTGCTCTTAAATCATGTTATCTATGCCCCTTCTATTTTGTCTTTCAAGATTACTCTCAATGTTTTAGGTCCTTTGTATTTCTACCATTTAGAAGCAGGGTACCAACTTCTATAAAGAAAATAAATGCCATTGGAATTGGGATTACATCAAATCTACAATTTTGGGAAGAATTGACATTTTGATAATACTGAGTCTTAAAATCTGCATTTGTTTGAATGTGTCCCCCCAAAAGAATGTGTTGGAAACAATCCCAAACAAATTTGGAGGGTGGGGCCCAATGGGAGGCACTCAGACATGAGGACTTCACACTCACAAATGGATTAATGCTATTATCACAGGAGTGAATTCATTATAAAAGGGCCAGTTCAGTCCCCTTCTCTTTCTCTCTTGTTCCCTCTCTCACCCTCTTGTTTTCTGTCATGGGATGATGCAGCATGAAGGCCCTCGCCAGATGCAAGCACCTTGAAATTGGGTTTTCCAGTCTCCGGAACTGTGAGAAATAAATTTCTTCTCTTCATAAATTACCTAGGGTGTACTGTGACAACATATGACATAATGAGCATGGTATATCTTCATTTATTGAGTCTTTCATTTTTTTCTCAGCAGTATTCTCAGCAATATTGCTACATTCAGTGTAGAGGTCTTATATATCTTTTTTGAATGTATCAATGAAATTGGTTTTTAATTTTATTTTTCAATTGTTTGCTGCTGTTATGTAACAATACAGATGATTTTGTATATTAACTGACATTGTCAAACCTTGCTAAATTATTTAATACTTTATTACTTCAATAATACTTAATTATTACTTTAATAACACTTAAAAATGTCATATGGTTGCAGTCATCATTTCTATCTAGTGCCAAAATACTTCTGTCGGCCCCCAAAGGAAACTCAGTACCATAAACAGTCATTCCCTATTCTTCCCTCAGTCCTGGGTAACCATTAATCTGCTTTCTGTCTTTTAATTCATATAAATGGAATCATACAATATGTGACCTTTTTGTGTCTAGCTTCTTTCACTTAGGGTAATGTTTTGAAGTTCATTCATGTTGTAGCATGAATTGATACTTCATTATTTCATATGGCTGAATCATATTCCATTGTGTGGATAATCCCATATTTGTTTATTCATCCCACCAGCTGATGGACATTTTGATCATTTCTACCTTACAGCTACTGTGAATAGTGCTGCCATGAACATTCATTGTTTATGAATACTTCTTTTTAATTCTGGGTGTTTTTTGTAGGCGTGAAATTGCTGTTTAACCTTTTGAGGAATTGCCATGCTTTTTCTATAGCAGCTGCCCTGTTTTACATTCTGGCCTGCAGAAGGGTTCTAACTTCTCCACATCTGTGCACTAATTTTTTTTTAATATTTATTTTTTAGTTGTAGTTGTCAATAACTTTATTTTATTTATTTATTTTTATGTGGTGCTGAGGATCGAACCCAGGGCCTCACATGTGCTAGGCAAGTGCTCTACTGCTGAGCCACAACCCCAGACCCCTCCCTGTGCACTGATTTTTTAAAAATTGTTTTTAGTTGTAGGTGGACCAAATACCTTTATTTTATTTATTAATATGTAGTAAAGTTCTTTCTACTGGTATTTTTGTTGATTCTTAATTACCCATCTGGTCATCTTTAGTTTCTGTTTCTCAGTTAAGACTGTGTATCTCTTCATTTGCTGTATGTTTTTCTAAACATCACTAAGTAGTAACTCATAAAAATTCTTATTTTCAAATTCTGACATTGTCATCTCAGGGTATGTATGTTTTTAATAGTCTTTTTCTTGGGAATTTGTCACATTTTCCTAGTTCTTCATGTGTTGAGCAATTTTGGATTTTATCTTGGTGATCTTGAATATTATACCATGGAAGCTCTGGATTTTATATATTTCTTTGAAGAATATTGATTATTTTGCTTTAGCAAACAGTTAACTTAGAAGCATTCAAAATGCAAACTCCTCTGGGGCTGCAGCTCCCACCTCAGTTCTTGATCCTTCTTCAGAGTTTGTTCCATGCATGCAGAGATCAGGAGTTAGCCTTAGATTTGGGCTGTTATACAAAAATCCTGGGTTCTTCCTCTGGATTCTGTCTTTCTTGGGAGGACCCCCCTCCCTTACTTTCCAGTGGCTGTGGTTGTACTGAACTCTATTGTTTGCTTCTTCAGATCAGATGGACTGGTTTTCTGTTGATATTCTGCTTCACATAAGGTTGACCCTCAGCCTAGAGCCCATAAAAATAGAAAACCAGTATCACCCTTTCTTCTAAGAGTTGACTTCCTTCTGGAATAGATTTTCCTCCAGACTATGCCTCTGACTGCTCTCCTGGTGAATTCATAGGTACCATTCCCCCAGCTTCCCCTTACGTTAACATCTACAGCCAATAGGACATTATTCCTTGGTACAGCTATCTTAAATACAGTGCTATTAACTAACATACAGAACTTATTCTTGTTTCACCAGTCTTTCCATTGATGTGCCTCTTCTCTTCCAGATTCCAGTTGAGACTATATTTAGTTCTTATGTCTCCCTCAGTCTCTTCACTCTGTGAGGTTCCTCAGTCTCATCTTTCCCACCTGTCACTTTTGAACTTTTCTTTAGTTCAAGTTTCAGTTGTTTCTTAGGAAGTTTCTCAAATTGGGCTTTTCTGATGTTTTCTTGTGATTAGATTGAAGTTATGCATTATTTGGAAGGATGTTTCAGATGTGATGTGCTTCTCAGTGCATGATATCAGGGAGTAAATACATGATGTCCCTGTAAATTACTGGGGATTTTAACCTTAGTCATTTGCTAAAGTTCTAAAGACAGGACTTTTTTCACTGTAAAATTACTGTTTCCTTTTATGATTACTAAATAATTAGGGTGAAATACTTTATGACCATGCAAATATCTGTTTAAGCTGTTGTCCACTAACCTTTAGTATAGTGTTCTAAATGGTGATTTTTCTATTTCTCTCATTTCTAATAAATTTATTAATTGTAGTTTTTCTATAAAGAAGACTAGTTGCTTCTTCCTTATTTATTCACATTTATTTATATCTATATGGACTTATGAATATTTTGTCTTTTGGGTTATAATCTAGTACTGTCACCATTTTGTTTTTTCAAGTTCCAACCTTGGCCATTGGGAGTTTTTAGGTTGACTCCTATGATGTTTTGATGTGCTCCCTCCACCTCCTCTTTTAAGCACTTTCTTTCTTTTGGCACCACAAAATGCTTTAGGCTCATTCTGTATTTTCCCTGCCTGAACCTCTGGATTAACCAGTTCTTTAATAAGTTAGCAGTTTATTCCTTTATTGATGAACAGTCATTGTCTACTTGCCAATTAAGGGGCATCTGCATTGTTTCCAACTTTTGGTATTATGAGTAAAGCTACTATAAACAATGTGGGCCACTGTGTGAAACCCAAGTTTTTGTTTTTTTTCCTGCTCTTTGATAGATACCTTTGATAGATACCCAGATCACCTCTGAGTGTCCATCAGAATGAATGAAAAGATTCTCATTAAGGTAGGTGCTTGTGAAATGTTCAAAACATGAGGAATAAGAAGACATTTTAAAAACTTTAACTGGGAGGTAAAAGCATCATATTTAAGAAATTAAGAATCAGAATGACAAACCAAATGTAAGAGATTTTAGACATAAGAGTATTCAGAAAATTTACTTCTCATGCATTTTTTCCATATTTTTGGAAATGAAGGGATTTGTTGTTACGTATTTGTACATGCACACAATGTAACAATATAATTTGGCCCATATCATTCTTATGCATTTTACTTCGGTTCAAAACTGCTTGAGGATCTATTCCAGCAAAACAA